CAGCAGGAACAGCCATTTTACTAGAAGCAGAAAAATATTCTACGGGTTTTGTCTTAACTGCACATTTTGTCTACCTGACACAATGCCATCATTCAAAGAGCAGAGATCGTCAGACCAAAAACAGCGCCATAAAAATGAAGATTCAGTTGTAAAAGCGTTTTTTATTGTTACAAATATACATATGAATAAAATCCCTTCAACCTGTAACGTAAGTGGGTAGCTGTGAAATTTGCACCCCCTCCCACAAAAGCTGAAATGTTTTTACAGATGTCAAACTATTTTTCTCGTAGAATTACACATAGAAAGGAAGCTAATATGCAGACAGAACTGAGGAAGGCCTCTAGAAAACACCAATAATTAATAAAATTTCAATTGCCCTCATTCCAATCAACTATATACATTAATATATGAATGTGGAAGCATACCATGATTATACGTCATCCAAATCCTTCTCTGTTGTGCTTTCTGACAGTACACAAATGTAAGCGTTGCAGCTTTATGTACAGTACGAGAACAGGAAGAAAGAGGCTCCCTATGAGAGAATGTAAAAACCATACCCAAGCATTTAATATATATAATCTATACAAATTATTTTATTAGTGTGCTCTTTTAATATAATTACAATGTGCAATTGCATACCGCAAGGATATATTTATAAGTAAGTCACGTGCAGATTTGACACATTTACATTCAGCAGTACAACACATTACCTGCTGTACAGTGTATTAGTGTAAGACAGTGTCCAGTTAATTTGCTTTGCTTTCTAAATGCCCTAATGCAGGGCACATTTTGTAGCTGCTTCAGAGAAATTCAAGTAGAATACATGAAAGAATCGCTGGCTTTAGCAAAGGCATGGAAAGGAACATCTGCATTGTGCAGAACAGAAATTAAGGACCGAATCAATGCCAAGTGAGTGCACTGTAAGTCACGATTGGAAGATCAGGCTTTCTGTATGGAAATGTACCTGTGGTGAAGGAGCAGCTGGCTAGGAGGGCTGTTGATTGCTGTACCCTGATTGTTATAAAAAGCTCTTGCGCTACGAAGCACTTGTACTGATTGCTAAACAAAAATAAAATCTTTATCTGCTTCTTCACCAGAGTCACTGGACTTGCTTCCCTGATGGCCGTCTTTACTTAAGGACCTCTGCTTCAGTTCCTGGAACTCATGAGACTGCTGCCCAGGGCTTCTTTTCGCAGCTGTATAAAATAGAAATAGGTCTTACTAATGATTGTAAAAGAGAAAGGAAGAAAAATAATTTAAAAAAAAGTCATTCATGCACACAAGACCTGCTCCTGCTCCTACTCATTTGCACTAGTGGGAGCAGCATAGGTCCATTAATTCTTCAACCCAGAAAAAGGTGAGAGAGAAGAGAGAGAGTTTGAGCAAACTTTATTCCACTGTAGGCTGGCAAGCAAACAAACTTGAAATACGAAACTCAGTGCTTCACTGTGACATGGATAAACATTACAGTTAGAAACAGCCTGGAGACTTTCTTCCCATCACACACTTCAAAACCAGAACAGAATTCTTTTTTCCAGCAGGGCTGGATCTCAGACGATGCACTCCTGTCTGCCCAGGTGGATATCCCTGCTGGGCACCTCTCAGACCAGCCTTAACCAGGACAGACATTTGCCTTGGCATCCAAGTTACCTGAAACACTGCTCGGTGCCCCACCAGCACTGCCAGGTCCCGCGGTGTCCCCCCTAAGCTCCCCTGTTCCCTGATGGGGGGGAAACCCATGGCTCTGAGCCCAACCTGCATCTCTTCCAGCAGAGACCATGCTCTGCACCTTGCTGTGCTCAGCAGAGGAAAAAGCAGGAGCACATACCCATTTCCCATTATCTAACAGCAAACAGCACCCATTTTGTTTGCCCAGCACTCTAAAATCTCAGTAAGCCCCAAAACCTATAAGCTTTGAAATAAAACAGAAAGAAGGTGGTAAAACCTTGTTAAGATTTCCGATCTAATCAGTGGTCTAAAATTGCTATGGTAACAAGAGAGTTGTTATACACACCAATGGGGGTGATGTTACACAAGGACTGATAGCTTTAGAAATCCCATACTTCCAATTAAAATGAATCTTTAAACACGCAACGGCCCTTAAACATGGCTCTGTGGCAAGTCGTCTCACTTCACCCCCACAAAATTACACGTTACAGTTATGAGACCTTCCTTGCTCCACCATTTCAGATAAGGACGTCCGACTTTGGTTCGCACTGATCCTCGTGCCCGTTCACGTTTGTGCGTGCCTCTCTGAACGAGGCACCACCTCTCTCTCTCCTTCCCTGTGCAGCGCTCACCTAGAGCCCCACCGCCGCAAGGGACGGCCTTGCCCCGTCCCTGGTGCGCAGTTCCGGCCTCCGCCAGGGCAGAGAAGCAGCAGGCTGTCCGTGACGCATCTCCGCGGCCATTTCAAGTTGCCGTGCCAGGCCGCGTTAGGGTCTGCCAGGAATGTGGAAAATGCAGAGAGGAATCCCGAGGCAGCTGCTGGGGCAGCCTCAGTGAGGATGCTCCCTGCATCCCTGGGGATCCAGCACAGCTCCCCAGGCAGCGCTGGTGCATCCCAACAGGGTACGGAACAGGGGACAAAGCTCTGACTTGTTTTCGTTTGGCACGGACATTGCCCAGTTCTGGATCTCTGCCGTGACAAAAGCAGAATGGACGTACCCAGCGCACGTCTTGCGGAGACCCACCACTGCACACATGGTGCATTTGCTATCCAAATAGTTCTCCTGAGTCCAAAATACCTGTTTCCTTACTTATGCTAGCCAAAATATGGGAGGAAATGAGAGCCAGCAGTTACGTGCTGGCTGTGTTCTTATCCCAGCTTTGCAAGCTGGCAAAGAAGAGGAAAGGATTTTGAGAAAGGGTTTTAAAGCTATTTAATGGAATTGGAGAGGATTAAGATACCTAAACTCTGTTTAAAAAAAAAAAAAAATAAAAAAAAATTAGGTATTTCTGTCTTCCCAAACACCACTGCTTTTCAAAGAAATAAGTGCCTGGAAATTTTTGAGTCATTCTTGATACTTGTACCTCCTAGTAACTACATGACCTTTGTTTGAGCCTCCACTCACTCTTCAAACAAAACCCAGAACACATCCTGCAGCATCCATTTTAATTCATGGCCTGATAAATCAAGACAGGTAATTTGCCCCCAAAATGCCTGCAAAATGTATCAGGCATCTAAGTCCAGATACTGCAAGCAAGCTTCTGCCACAAGAGCTTACCCTTGCCCCGATGAAACCATAACACAGGTGACCTGCGTAGATCTGCGACAGCATCTCAGCTTTTGAAATTTACTTTATCAGAGAGACGTCTTAGAATGAACTAAAATATAATAATTTGATTATGGTGGGGAGGACAGATTACAAGTTTGGGTGGGCTAAGTTTGATTCTACAATATGAAAAGGAAACCAATTTATAGATTTTGGGCTGAGGATATTACAAAAGGGATACACGATGTCTTATAAATAGAAAAACTGAGGGTAAATGTAATTGATGTTCAAAATACCTCAGAAAAAAAATAATTTTGAATCACTGCTTAAACAAACCAGGTAAGATGTAAAAAGAAGGATGTAAACATGCACCATTTGAGAACAGGAACTTTTATATTTTAAAACCACACAGATCAACCAAACATTTTTATAGCCTACTGAATGAGTTCACTGGAAGTCAAAGTGGCTCTTCAGAAAGCATGGCTTAAGCACGCAGCACAGGGCTGGGTTTGGGTTCTTTTGGTGGTTTTTTTGTTTGTTTATGCAGCTGAAAAGCAAAGTATTATGTCAAAATAAGCTGATTTACCCAGTTCTCAAATGTTTTGTGAATGATGTACTGAAACTGGCACTAACAATATTCAGGCTGAAACATATCTGGAAATGCTTCAGTGCACGCATCTTAAAAAGGAAAGGTACGTGAGCGCACAAACCTACAGTCTACCTGCAGCACGCTTACACATCAGCGTGCCAGCGCCGCTGCAATGAGCAATCGCATTTTGTAATGAGCCTTCTTCTGCAGAGGGGCTGCAGGTGCTATGTGGTACTGCTCACTGGTGTTGCCACGAAGGAAAAATGCACACACATTTCTTATCTGGAAATTTTTTCACACCATGTAGTTCCCATGGGGACAGATAGATGATTAGCATCCCATGAGATTTTTTTTACCTTTCTCCAATGACAAACCCCCACCCTTTTGTGGCTTCTTTGCTACTATAGTTTCTTAATGATTGTTAGTGCCAGTTATCAAGCATCGTCTTGATGAAAAATGAAAACTTCTAACCAGAAGTTGGCTGTGCCTTCCTCTGCCCAAGCACATTAGCTTCCTCTTCTGCACTGGTAGAATACTGCCCCGAAGTGGTTTTCACGCTGCCAGATGCCTTGGCACAGTCATGAGCTGTATCCCTTTTTTGACAATCTCCTGTTTGCTCTAGCAGGAAAAAGGATTCATTTATACCCCTAAGCTGTTCTGTAGGCTCACATATGGAAAGTAATATAAAAAATGTCACTTATCCATCCCATTTAATTAATTGTTCGTATGCCAGATGCTTGCTTAAATTTAGGCCAAGTATTTGCATATATTGGTAACTGCAGCCCGATCTTACAGGTACGCTGTATAAAGAGGTGTATTTTGAGATTGTCCCACATAGTACAGTTAAAGTCATTAACATAAAGCAATTTTATAATCAAGTATCATCTAATTCGCAGCTTTCTTTCGCAGGAGATATAATTTTGTTTACTAAGGCAGATTTGCAGTGATTTACCGGTTGCAGAAATAAATTAAGCATGGTAGCCTGAAAGGCAGGAGAAAGCAAGGACAGAGGAGTGAGTGAATGAGGAACTAGAACAGTAATAAATAAAAAGGAAAACCTGAAAAAGAATAAGAAATAAAAGAAACAGA